AAGTTAAGGGAGATACAGGAAGAAATAGACAGCAAAACTATACTTGTGGGGGACTTCAACCTTTCCCTCTAAGAACTAGATAAATCTAACCACAAAATAAGCAATAAAGAAGTTAGAGATCAATAGAATCTTGGGAAAGATGAATAAATAAATATAAATAGACCTCTGGAGAAAACTGAATGGGAACAGAAAGGAATATACCTTTTTCTTGGCTGTACATGGCACCTACACAAAAACTGACCATGTACTAGGGCATAAAAACCTCACAGGTCTAATGCAGAAAGGCAGAAATATTAAATGAATCCTTTTCAGATCATGATGCAATAAAAATTACATGTAATAAAGGGCCATGGAAAGATAGACTGAAAATTAATTGAAAACTAAATAATCTAATCCTAAAGAACAACAAATCATAGAAACAAGTAATAATTTCATCAAAGAGAATGGCAACAATGAGACAACATACTAAAATTTATGAGATGCAGACAAAGCAGTTCTTAGGGGAAGTTTTATCTCTCTAAATGCTTACATGAATAAAACAGAGAAAGAAAAGATCAGTGAATTGGGCATGCAACTACAAAAACTAGAAAAAGAACAAATTGAAAATCTCCAAGTAAATATCAAATTATAAATTCTGAAAATCAAAGGAAGGATTAATAAAATTGAAAATAAGAAAACTATCGAACTAATAAATAAACTAAGACCTGGTTTTATGGGGAAAAAAACCCAATAAAATAGATAGACCTTTGGTTAATTTGATTAAAAAAAGGAAGAAGAAAACCAAATCACCAGTATCAAAAATGAAAAGGATGATTTTACCACCAATGAAGAGGAAGTTAAAACAATAATTAGGAGCTATTTTGCCTAACTATGTGCCATTCACAATCTTATTGAAATGGATGAATATTTACAAAAATATAAATTGTCCAGATTAACAGAAGAAGAAATAAAACACTTAACCCCATTTCAGAAAAAGAAATTGAACAAGCCATCAATGAACTCCTGGAGAAAAATCCCTCCAGGGCCAGATGGATTTACAAGTGAATTCTATCAAACATTTAAAGAACAACTAATTCCAATACTATATAGACTATCTGGGAAAATAGGTGGAGAAGGATTACTACCAAATTCTTTTTATGATACAAATGTGGTGCTGATACCTAAACTAGGAAGAGCCAAAACAGAGAAAGAAAATTATAGCCCAATTTCCCTATTTAATATAGATACAAAAATTTTAAATAAAATATTAGCAAAAAGATTACAACTTATTTTGAGGATAATACACTATGACCAGGTAGGATTTATACCAGGAATTCAGGACTGGTGAATATTAGGAAAACTATCAGCGTAATTGACCATATCAACAACAAAACTAACAGAAATCTTATGATTATCTCAATAGGTGTGGAAAAAGCATTTGACAAAATACAACACCCATTCCCATTAAAAACACTAGAAAGTGTAGGAATAAATGGAGTCTTCCTTAAAATGATAAGTAGCATCTGTCTAAAACCATCAGTAAGCATTATATGCAGTGATGATAAGCTAGAAGCATTTCCAAAAAGATCAGAGGTGAAACAATGATGTCAATTATCACCACTGTTATTCAATATTGTACCAGAAATGTTAGCTGTAGCAATAAGAGAAGAAAAAGAAAATGAAAGAATTAGAATAGGCAAAGAAGAAACGAAGCTATCACTCTTTGCAGATAATATGATGGTATACTTAGAGAATCCTAAATCAAGTAAAAAATTACTTGAAATAACCAATAACTTTAGGAAAGTTGCAGGATATAGAATAAACCCACACAAATAATCGACATTTCAACATATTACTAACAAAGCCCAGGAGCAAGAGACAGAAAGATAAATTCCATTTAAAATTATGGTAGACACTATAAAATATTTGGGAGTCTACCTGCCAAGACAAAACCAGGAACTCTTTGAACACAATTATAAAACACTTTCCACACAAATAAAGTCAGATATAAGTAATTGGAAAAATATCAGTTGCTCATGGGCAGGCCAAGCTAATATAATAAAATGACAATTCTACCTAAATTAGTTTACTTATTGAGCACCATGCCAATCCAACTACCAAAAAATTATTTTATAGAGCTAGAAAAAACGATAACAAAATTTACCCGGAAGAACAAAAGATTCAGAATATTAAGGGAACTAATGCAAAGAAATGCAAGGGAAGGTAGTCTAGCTATATCAGATCTTGAATTGTATTATAAAGAAGGAATCATCAAGACTACTTGGTACTGGCTAAGAAATAGAGTTGGTGGATCAGTGCTATAGATTAGTTATGCAAGACACAGAAGTCAATGACTATACTAATCTACTATTTGATAAATCCAAAGACTCCAGTTTTTGGGATAAGAAATCACTATTTAGCAAAAACTTCTGGGAAAACTGGAAAAATGCATGGCAGAAACTGGACATAGATCAATATCTTACACCCTATACCAAGATAAAATCAAAATGGGAACAGGATTTAGATATAAAGACTGACACTATAAGCAAACTAGAAGAGCAAGGAATAGTTTACCTTTTGGATCTATGTAGAAGGGAAGAATTTATGACCAAACAAGAGATGAAGAACAATATGAAATGCAAAATGGACAACTTTGATTACATTAAATGAAAAGTTTTTGCACAAATAAAGCCAATGCATCCAAGATTAGAAGGGAAACAGAAAGCTGGGAAACAATTTTTACAGCCAGTGTCTCTGATAAAAGCCCCATTTCTAAAATAGAGAACTAAGTTACATTTAGGACAGGTCATTTAGGAGAATACAAGTCATTTCCCAATTGATAAATGGTCAAAGGATATGAACAGGCAGCTTTCAGAGGAAGAAACTAAAGCTATCTGTAGTCATATGAAAAAATATTCTAAATCACTATTGATTAAAGAAATGCAAATCCAAACTACTCAGAGGTACTAATGGCTAACATGACAAAACAGGATAATGACAAATGTCGGAGAAGATGTGGGAAAATTGGAACATTAATACATTGTTGGTGGAGTTGTGAAATGATCTAACCATTTTGGAGAGCAATTTGGAACTATGCCCAAAAGGCTATAAAATTGTGCATACCTTTCGACCCAGCAATACTAGGTCTATATCCCAAAGAGAGCATAAGAACAGGAAAAGGACCCACATGTACAAAGACATTTATAGCAGCTCTTTTTGTGGTGCCAATATGGAAATTGAGGGGATACCCATCTATTGGGGAATGGCTGAACAAGTTGTGGTATATGAATGTAATGAAATACTATTGTGCTCTAAGAAATGATGAGCAGGTAGGCCTCAAAAAAAAACTTGAGCAGAACCAGGAGAACACTGTACACAGTAACAGCCACATTATGGGATAGACTTGGCTCTTCACAGCAATGCAAGAATCAAAAACAACTCTAAAAGACTCACAATGGAAATTGCTATCCACACCCAGAGAAAGAACTACGGAGTCTGAATGCAGATGGAAGCATACTATTTGTTCTCCTTTTTCATTGTTGTTTTGTTTTATTGCATCATTCTCATGGTTCCTCCCATTAGTTCTAATTGTTCTTTACATCATGACTAATGGGAAAATATGCTTAACATGAATGTATATGAAGAGCTTATATCAGATTGTACATTGTGTGGGAGGGGTAGAAAATATAAAACTCATAATCTTATGCAAGTGAATATTAAGAACTAAAAATTAAGTAATTAATTGATTAATTAATTAAAACAACAACAACAACAACAACAAAGGGGCAACTAGGTGGCACAGTAGAGACAGCACTGGCCCTGGAGTCGGGGCACCTAAGTTCAAATCCTGCCTCAGACACATAACACTCTGGGCAAGTCACTTAACCCCAATTGCCTCACCAAGAAAAAAAAAAGAAAAAAATCTAGTGACTATTACCTCCATTATCAAATATAAAACCCTATTTAGCTTTTAAAGCCTTTACAATTTGCCCCTTCTTATCATTCCAACATTCTCACACTTTACTTAACTTCTCAAAGTCAGCAATTTATTGATTCTGGTCTTTTTGCTGTTCCTCATGCACAACACTCTGTCTCCCAATTCCATGCCTTTCCATTTCATGCTTAAAATGCTCTCCCTCCTTACCCTTGTCTCCTGGCTTCCTTCAAAATTCAGCTCAAATCCCACCTTCTCCAATAGACCTCTCCACTCCCCACCCCCCAAGCCTGCCCATTCTTTGTTCCTTCCCTTTGAGATTACCTTCTATTTATACTTTATCTTCTATATATTGTGAAAAGATAAAAATATTACTTCCGATTTCTGCGGTGTTGATTTTACAATGTAATTGATTTTTGTGATGTATTGAGTTATATAATTGAGTTAGTATCTGCCTGAAGTCACCTTGTTCAGAAATGTAGTTTCCCTTCCAGTTACTTTAAAAGTATGGTTGAAAAGGAATGTTATCACCCATGCAATTAGCCGCTGGGACATTTTATTGTCTGTAAACCCCAACCAGCTTAACCTGGTGCCATCCCCCCAAAAGGCAAGTCATCTGTCTATGTCTGTCCTTGCCTATCCTTGTGCAATTAAAGGAGCCTAGATCTCCTCCAAGAGAACAACACACACGGTGGTTCTGGTTTCATAGCCAAGATTGCAAGAGGCAGAGAAGTCCTATAAAACAATTAACATTCTTTAATTATCAAAGAGGGACACAATTAGCCATACCTGTACGCCACCCATTTTCCTTAGTACAGACAATTGTGATATTCCAAAACCACTCAGATGCCCCTCCTCATTTCCTGCATGTCAATAAAAAGGATCTACCCTTTTTCGTTGCTGTCATTGACCTTACTGGAGTGGCCAGTCTGGCCCATTTTGTTAACAGTTATACAGGTTGTATTACACTTGGACTTCACTGCATTTACCAACCACAGTTTATAGTTGTTTGCACATTATCTCCCCATTTAGAATGTGAGTTCCTTGAGTGTAGGAATCATATTTTTCCCTTTCTTTATATCTTCAGAACTCAACACAATGCCTGGCCCATAATAAGCATTTAATAAGTGCTTGTTAACTGACAATTCCTCTGGATTTCAATTTCCTACTCTGCAAAATGAAGAAGTTTGACTAGAAGACTGCTAAGGTCTGTTCCAGCTCTTAATCCATGATACTATTATCTTATGTGTGTTTATGTACATATTTATATACATATCTATATAAACATATAGCTATATAGAGAAATGTATATGTCTATTATTTCATATAGGTAGACACAGAGCTATAAAGATAAATGTATCTGTATAAATACATGTGAGGATGTACATATATAACCTCAACTAAAGTCCTACTCCAACACCTCATTATAGTGTGGAGGTGACCCTAGGTTTTTGAGGTGAATAAGTGTTTTAGCAGGTGCTACAAAATTGGAAAGGCTTTGAGTATGGACCTGATGATTGAATGTATGTCTTTTGTCCATGGATCAACCTAGTTAATGTATGAGAGGCTCATCACCAGGTCAACTACAACTATACAAGAAAATCGAATACAGATGGGTTGTGATCTGCATTAGTAGAAGAAGTCCCCACGTTGACTTAATTACAAGTATTGAAGTATTAAGTACCTGCACACATGCATATGTGCACATGTGAAACAGTGAAATAAAACAAAGCCAAATTTGGGTTTCATTTTGCACTTATATTTCCTTGCAATTTCTTTATCACTACAAATTTAGCATAAGAACAGTAACAAAATGAGAGAAAACTGAATAACGGGAATCACTTCTTAAAACACCAGTTCCTACACTTTTTTCAGTGGCGTTAAGAGCTTAGACACTGCTGACGTACAAACTAATTGGTTTTAGTGTTCCAATAGTATTAGCTTAAAAAGAATATCCATTTCAAGTTTCTGCTTTTGTAGTCAGTGTACAGTTTTCAGTTATTTTTCATATGGCTGCAGTAATTCCCTTGTCTCTGGTGTCTGCTTCAGAGTACAAATACAATGACTGATGGGAATCTGCTTGTGGAAGTAGCTGCAATGAAGTTTCGTAGTTAAGTTTTTCTGAAGGCTCTGGTGAATTTTCCCTCCATCTTGAACTTGCGTGCTGTTGAGATACTTTCCATACTCTGGGACAAGGGGAAGTAAAGCCTAGAGTAGGTCTTGAAATTTGATTCTCTTGAAAGCTTTCTTCCTTGATACGCTGGTTGGAAAGCACTTCTTTTTCTTTGCAGTTTCGCCATTTCATTCTTCTATTTTGAAACCAAATTTTCACCTATTTGTAAAAAAATTGAATAAGTAACTGGTCTTATCATTTCACTCAATGATTTTATTTCCTCTACCTGTGCCAAAGATGATTTGAAAAGGATAACTGGACCTGGCATTTTTCACTAAAGTTTTTGACTTTTTATACACACTTTACATAAAATGTTGGACAGCATTATATATAATCAGAACCTAGTGAAGATCTGGAAAACCAGTGCACAGCACATATCCCTGGAGATAGATACATGCATGCATACATACACACATGCAGATATAGATTATAGCCATGAAGTCAGACACACTTAGAGACTATACTATTTTAGACCATAAAGAGCATTTGGTAGATACACTAGTTCAATTGAAATTCATTGAGGCCAATTTTCTTCTAATGGAAACTGCATTAATATAATAATTAAAAATTTTAGTGCACTTCTTAGTCTGCTATAGTGTACCGAAGGATGTCCTAACCCTTCAAGGAGGCTATTGCAATTTCTGAAAGTATTTGACTTTCTCCTAGAAGTAAGTAGTAAAATTGGTGCTCAGTCAATAATAAGTGATTATAATATTAAATTAAGGCAAGTAAATTAGCTCATAAAGGTGTCCTGATAGTTGTCCTCTAGAAGTTAATTCTTTCTTTACATTTAAAATATTTCTTTTCCAGGACCCACATTTACAAACATATTTATAGCTCTTTCTGTGGTGGCAAAGAATTGGAAATTGAGGGGATGTCCATCAATTGGGGAATGGCTGAACAAGTTGTGATGTATGAATATAATGGAATACTATTGTGCTACAAGAAATGATGGGCAGGCAGACTTCAGGAAAACATGGAAAGACTTGTATGGACTGATACTGAGTGACGTGAGCTGAACCAGAAAGTAGGATTTATGCTGGGTCTCATAGAAAGCCAACAGGAAAAAAAGGTAAGGAAGAAAAGAATTATAGGCAGGGAGGACAGCCAGTGAAAAAGAACAGTCAGGATATTCAATATGTGAAATACAGCAATAAGGCCACTGTGGCTGGACCATGGAAAAGATGGAGAAAATAAAATTTAAGATGACTATAAAGCTAGGTAAGGAGCACATCATGAAGGGCTTTAAATCCCAAACTGAGCATTTTATATTTGATCTTGGAAATAATAGATAGCTACTGGAGTTTATTAAAAGAGAAAGTAACATGGCCAGACCTATAGCTTTAGAAAGATCAGTTTTACTGTATGGTGGAAAATTGACTGGAGGGAGGAGAGACTTAAGGCAGGGAGAACAACCAGAAAGCTATTGCAATAGTCCAAGTGTAAGGGGATGACAGCTTACATAAGTGTGGTCACTGTGTGATTAAACAGAAGGTAATATATAGAAGAGATGTTCTAAAGGCAGAAACAATGAGACTTGGAAACAGATTGAATATGTGGTAAGTGAAGAGTCAAAGATAATACCGAATTGCAAGTCTAGGTGACTAGAAGGATGGTGTAGACAGTAATAGGAAAATTAAAAAGGAGGAAAAGTTTGGGGAAAATTATAATGAGTTCCATTTTGAACATGTTGACAGGAAGTAAAGAGAAGAGTTAGCAGAGTAAGTAGAAAGGGAAGGAGAAGGGAAAGAAGATGTGAATAAAAAGTCAACCAGTGCTAGAAAGGGGGGCCAGGAAAGCTGTGTGATCAAAAGGAATCCAGGCCTTAGTGAGAGAGAGATGAAAGGAGTGGGAAACGAAAAGATATAAGATGATGACAAGTTTTTTACCTGCAGAGCATGTATTCCAGAAAGTATGGTGGAAGCATGATTACCTCAAAAGTAAACCCAATAATAATCATGACTATTATTAGAAAATACCAATAGTACTCAGACCGTAGCTCCTGAATCATGTGTAGCTTTTTTATTCACAGCATGGATGTTTTCAAAACCTCTAATTCCTATATTATATATTCTATAATATATTTTATTTATTACAATATAATATGAAGTATTATATTATAGTAGATTCAAAGACAAATTTAAGTTTATGAGGATTATAATTATTACTCTAACATCATATAACTATGACTATTACTGATTTTTAAATTATTTATGTATTGTCTATCTTAATATATAATAATATATAAATATTTAATATATTACATCATATAAACCATAGTAGCCATAAACTATATTTATATATTATTGAATAAATTATTGATTAAATATAACATGTAATAATATAAATATGATAAATAAAAATATACATAATACATAAAGTATAAATATAAATACATATTTATATATCCACTTATATGGCAGCCATGAGGCAGAGTGAGTACAGTGTTGGGCCTGAAGTCAGGAAGACTCATGTTCCTAAGTCCAAATCTGGCCTCAGGTACTAGCTGTGTGACCCTGGGTAAGTCACTTAATCCTGTTTGCCTCAGTTTCCTCATCTGTAAAATGAGCTGGAGAAGGAAATGGTAAACCACTCAAGCAACTTTGCCAAGAAAACTCAAAATGGAAACATCATCTAGTCCAACTCCTTCATTTGGAAACTAAGAATTTGGTAAATTAAGTGATTTGTCCCAGGTCGAAGACATTAATAAGTGGTTTGTGAGCATACACACACATACACACACACACACACACACACACACACACACCATTTTTAGACTTTCAGATTTTGAAAAAGGAGAAAAACAGTAAAGCTAAAATCCACTTGAACATAGTTTTATCTATAGACAGAAAAAACCAAGCTCTGTGCTCCTGTATAATCTGAAATATATCATTATTTATTAGGATAGAACCAGTGTGCCCACTACCAAAAGTTGGCCATATCTGCAAACAGACTAGTTTTCAAATATGAACCACAATACACAATATGAATATTTTTGTATCTCCAGTGTTTAGCATATAGTAAGTGCTTAATAAATGTTTTTTGATTGATTGGTTCATTGAGCTAAAATTAATGGAGAATCTATTGTGTTCATCATCTGACAAGCATCCATTAAAGCCTGTGGCTAAGGTGCTAGGCAAACAAAGATAAAACACAAGTCCAAGAGAAAAGATAAAAGTCTGTGGACATTTTTTTATCCATTAGTACCTGTGACTCCTTTAGTCCCAAATTGATGGAGAGTTTCTTTCTGTCTGTTTTGCTGATGTACTTCTGTTTCTGAAACATTTTCTCCAGAGATTTTCTCTGCTCATTAGAAAACACAGCTCTTCTTAAAATTCCTCTTTGCGCTTTGGAACTGGAATCCTGTGTCAGTAGAGGCAACATGGTATCCTCTCCTAGGGGAAGTACAAGGCACAAGCTGAATTTAATGTAATCTATAATAAGTATTTAGTTTATTCCAAGCATTATATGAGAGTGGGGGAAGAATATTACTTTAGACTCTTCAAGTTAAATACTAAGGACTACATTCACTTATTTCATGTAGTCTCATAGGACTTAGAACTCAAAGCTCAACTCTCTCAATTTACACACGAGGAAGCTCATTCAAGATCACACAGATAGTACTAGTGGCAGATCCAGGATTTGAAACCAGATTTGTTGTTGTTGTTGTTGTTGTTGTTGTTGTTGTTGTTGTTGTTTACTACAAATCCAGTGCACTTTCTATTATGCTGCAAGTGAAATAACTTATTCAGAGTCTATGTATTGCAGGAATCTGAAACAAGGCTGAAGCAAGAAGAAGGCTTGAAAGTTAGTGAGCTCATTGAAAGATAAACAATTTGAAGAGATGAGTAGAAAGTCAATAATATGAGATTTGAGATACACTTTCAATTAGGATTTAGGAGAATATAAAGAAAAAATATAGCATTGTGGAAGTCCAAGAAGGAGAGAATTTTAGGAAGATGTCAACAACATCAAATGCCAATCACATGGACTGAAGAAAGGTCAATGGATTTGACAAGCAAAAAGGTGATAAGAGGGTATCCATCAAAGTGGAGGTGAGAAGACTATATGGAAGAAGAAACTAGAGGTACTAAAGAGGAAAGGCTTACAACCAGTTTGACCTTGAGCGAATGAGTTAAGCTCCCTAACCCTTGATTTTCTGACTGTAAAATGAGAAGATTGGACTAGATTATTTCTAAATTAGCTTCCTGCTTTAAATCTATGATTCTCCATCCTTTATCCTTTTATCCAGTATCAGAGGAAAATTATTCTCTCCTCCATCATCTCTCTAGTAATAGTCTAGATTCCATTCCTTACCACATTTTCCAGTACCTCACCCCTACAATCCAGGATTAAGGATACTCAAGAAATCTTTCTGTAAAGCAGGTTGTGAGGGGTCATCTGCTGAAAGTATGTATGGAAGGGTAGGAATAAAAAGAGAAGTATTGCACTTTTGGAAGGAAAGGATAAAAGAGCCTGGAAAAGAAGGTGAGTAAAATGAAGCAGTACAGCCCAGATCTCTCTCACAACAACTCCAACAAATAATAATGATGATAATAATAATAATATAACGCTTAACATAACATTTACATAGTACTTACTATGTAGCAGGCACTGTGCTAGGCACTTCACATTTATTCTCTCATTTGACCCTCAGAATCCTGAGAGGGAGGTGCTATTATAACTCCCTTTACAGATGAGACAACTGAGGACAAGAGAGGTTTAGTGACTTGTCCTAGGTCACAAAGCTAGCAAGTATCTGAAGCTGGATTTGAACTCAGGCCTTCCTGACTCCTGGACTGGGCTCTATCTACTGCTCCAATAAAAATGGCAGAACAGTAACAGATTGAGTAGTGAAGAGAAAATCTGAAGTCCAAATCCAGAGTGAATAATTTTCTTCAATCCAGCCAACATAGGAAGAGAGCTAGAGGCTAGTGGCACTGGGAAGAAGATTCAACCAAGAAGGCCTGTATAGAGCCTTGTAGCACTGAGACTAAATTGAGGCCTGTGGCTCTGAACCAGACATGGAATGTGGATTAGTCCTAAGGCTGTGTACCAGGCAGGGAACAGGAACAGAAATGAGCCAGTAAGCTATGTCACTCTGACCTGGGAGCTGTGTGACAATGCCAGTGTAGACTGAGTCTGGGCCTGGAGCCTTGTAGCAGGGCAAGAGTAAAGAGTCAAAGAACCAAAGATCCATATAGCTGTGGGGGAACAGGAACAGGAGGAAGCCCTTCCAGGGAGCTGCGGTCAGCAGCTTCTATCTGGGAGATCCTGGTCAGGCACAAATAGTCCATATGAACATCTGGAGTGGAGATGTCACTAAATTTGCACATCTCATATTTCTTTCGAGCTATTGCAATTCTTCTCTGATGTGGGCATGCCATGCTGGATGGTCCTATGCCACTGTCTCCCATGTCTTACAATCAATTCCAAAGTTCTTCAGAGAGACCTTGAGACTATTCTCATTTCACTTCTTCTGACCTCCTTGTGAGAGTTCTCCATAAAAGTATTTTAGGAAAATGTACATTTGAACTATTGTTGAACAAATATAATTTGAACAACAAACAAATTGAATAAATGTAATTCAAGCAGTATGGCTGGTTCATCAGAGTTGTGGTCTGTGAAGACTGAATGTATGAATGTATGAATGTTTGGCAGTTCAGCTCAAGAAAAACCACAGTGTGTGCAAGCTTATCTTGCTAGGTGATGTTCAGAATCTTCCTAACACAATTCACATAGAAGTGTGACACTGGTAGACTATCCGGGCTTCACAGACATGCAACAAGGTCAGCACAATGGCTTCAGTGAACCTTCAGTTTCACAGGTAGCCTAATGCTTCTTCTCTCCTACACTTTCCTTCAGAGTCTCCCATGCACTGAGCTAGTTCTGGCAATGCAGGCATCAACCTCATCATCTATGTGGACATCCCTGGAAAGTGTACTGCCAAGGTAAGTGAACTTATCCACAGCATTCAAAATTTCTCCATTTGCTGTAACTGACAGTTCCATGTGTGGATGGTGTGGTGCTGGCTTGTAGATAACTGTGTTTTCTTGGTGTTAATTGTTGGGCCAAATTAGCACAAGCAGCAGAGAATTGATCCATACTTTCTTGCATTTCAGCCTCAGAAACTGCATTGAGTGCACCGTCATCTGTGAAAAAAAATGCACCAACTCTCCCTCTTCTTTAGTCTTGGCTTTTAAATTAAATTTAAATTTAAATTTTAACAAAGTTAAATAATTTACTGTCAGTGTGATAGCTTACCTTGATGCCATTTTTATCCTCATTGAAAGCGTCCGACAACATTGCTGATAACAACATCGTGCTAAAAACCATGGGAGCAAGCACACAGCCCCATTTCATTCTATCGGTGATTGAGAGCATCATCCATTATTCAGAACCTGTGTAAACTTGCTATCATGAAATTGATATACAATACTGGGGAACTTCTCCAGGAAATCAAAGTTTGCCGTAATTTTCCTTCACAATTGCCAGTATCAAAGGCCTTGGTTAAATCAACAAATGTTGTGTACAGAGCTCTGTTCTGCTCCTGGCATATCTCCTGGAGTTGGCAAACAGCAAACACCATATCATCTGTTCCTCAGTCCTTTCTGAAGCCACGCTGGCTCTCAGGTAGATGACCATCTTCAAGGCGAAGAATCAGGCAATTAAAGAGGACTCTGAAAAGAATCTTACTGGCAATAAGTAAGAAAGAGAACCCCTTATTGTTACAGAACAACCTATTTCCCTTTCCTTTACAGGAATGGACGATGTAGGCATCCTTGAACTCCTGGGGGATAACCTCCTTTTGCCATACAACCTGGAAAATTTCAGTCAGCTTTTGTATGAGCAGTGGACCCCTGTCTTGTAAACCTCAGCTGGAATAGAATCAGCACCAGGAGCTTTGCCACAGAAAAGTTGCTGAATGGCACTCAAACCTCTTCTTCAGTTGGAATTTTTGCTAGAGAGTGCTTGACTTCAACCTGAAGTATATGGTCAGTGGCTTCAGCATTGATTGGTAATGATCCATTGAAAACACTATGGAAGTGTTCAGCCCATCTTTCCAGCAGCATGTTCTTATCACTAACCAATGTGGCTACATTAGCACTGAGTATTTGAAATGCACCATAGGCCTTTGGCCCATAAATAGACTTCAAGGCATCATAAAAGCACTTTGTATTGTTATTATCAGCATAATACTGAATTTTGTCTGCCTTCTTACTGAGTCAAGAACCTGCATCTTTCTAAGCTTCCCTTGCCCTTTACTTTTCATGGAGTTAAATATTGCCTTTTCAGAGATGGATGAATTAAATTATTATTAAATCCTGTGGAGTTCTATCTTTTAATTTAGCAACTTCTAAAGTTCCTCATCATTTTCTTATGACCAAGCTTAATGTTTGTAAGTATTCTTGCTTAGATGAGCAAATGTGATGCTGAACACCAAATCTCTAAGAGCTGCCAACTCCTTTTCTGCTCCACTGTTGCCAACCATGTGTTAACTCAACTTTACCTCCAAATTAACCGTTCGTGCTCAGAGAAGCACTCTAATCTGTTGATATTAAGTCTTCTGGTAGTGGTCTTGTGTTGGGGCCACTACTTTTGTTGATTGTAAATGTTTAGTTTGGAGAGAATAAGTTGATTTTTGGTACAGCACTCTGTGCCACACATAACCTTTATTACTCTCATAATCTGTCTGTCTCTTCTCCTTAGAGTGACATAGTCTATTAAATGCCAGTGTTTACTGTAAGGGTCCATCCACAAAATTTTGTTGTATTTAGGTAAGCAGAAGACAGTGTTGGAGATGAGAAGATCACGTGACATTAGTAGTGTCAGTAGCAAGTGACTGTTGCTGTTGCTTTTTCTAACTCCATTCCTCCCAAGAATTCCTTGCCATGTCTGATAGTCTGTGCCTACTCTGGCATTAAAGTCACTCAGAATTAAAAGCTTGTCTCCTTTTGGCACATTGATGATGAGGGTCTCCAAGTCTTCATAAAATTTTCCTCTGATCTCATCAGGGTTCATCATGGTGAGACCATGTGCACTGATGACGGTGGCATGGCAACCATCAAGTAACAAGAGCATTGTCACTCACTCCTTTCGGTAGGTATACAAGCTTGTTGACTAGATTAGTTTTGATCACAAAACCTACACCAGCTTCACAGTATTCCCCTTCACTGTGGCCACTCCAGGAAAGCATGTATCCAGCTCCAATTTCAGTAAGCTGACTTTCATTTGCCAGCCTTGTTTCACTCAGGGCTGCCCTTTGGATGCAACACTTACTTAGTTTTCTCACAACAAGAATTATTCATTTTTCAGGTCTACTAGATTTCGTATTGTCCATAAATGTGTGCACATTCCATGAGTACATAGATGGTGCATGGATGGTGAGTGGAATTATCTTTGCAAAAGTTTTTGTACATTTTTTGTGTTTCAGCTACCAGGTGAAATCCCTACCTGCCTTAGTAAGCAGGCCTGGATTGGGTGAAGCAGACAATGAATGTTTAAGGCCACCTCCTCATGCCAGAAGGTGAGCTGTGCAGGCCTTCAAAAAGGCTGCTCAGACACCCAATGGGCTGCCAAATCCCACTGCTGCTTCAGTACAGTGAGAAGACAACCCTATAGCTTGGGCTGCCAGTGTGGTGGGCTGTGACTACATGTCTCAGTGTATCTGTACCTGTTGTTTTGTCACTTGCCTGTTTCCACAAGACTTTGAGGTAGGTAAAAATGGTAAAATAGTATGGGTGATATCTTTTGACAGGCACGTAAAATGGATTTAAGTGAGGCAGAATTGCAAGAAGTCATCCTAACTCTCTTCCAGAGTCATTGAAGTCGAGTGTCAAGACAAAATCAAGATGACTTGGTGACTGCTCAGGATGTAGGGGATGACATTGGCATCTTCAGTGTCTAACCAAGAGCTCCACAGTACCTGCTTCAGCCACCTTCATGGCTGTTGGTACAAATGATTCTCATCTGCAACATTCTACCACGGGAAGTCTTTGTATGCTTAGGGTAGACACTCTCTCACTCACTGACAGATTTAAGACCACTCTGTTACCCACAACCTGAGTAGCCTGTCTGCCAAAACACTTTACCATGGTGTGGCCTCTGCTCATGCTACAGCTTCTAGGAGCCACAAGTGAGAGTTGTGCAAAACAGGTGGACACTAGAGATAGAAAGTAACCATGAAAAGGGCTCAGCAGCCCTCACACCAGAGGTACTAATCTTTCCTGAACCACACTCCTGAGAGAAACCCCAAAATGAAAAATCCAGAAAGACTTACATGAACCGATGCTGAGTGAAGTGAGCAAAACCAGGAGAAGATTGTATACAATAATAGCAACATTGTGCAATGACTGACTTTGTTAGACTTAGCTCTTCTGAGCAATGCAATGATCTAAGACAATTCCAAAAGACTTATGATGGAAAATGCTGTCCACATCCAGAGACAGAACTATAAAGTCTGAATGCATAGTTCTGTTCACCTCACTCCACATCTGTTCAAACAAGTCTTCCCAGGTTTTAAGTCTTTGACTTAAGGCTGATTTTTAAAAAGTAGACAGTCAGCTTTGGTGTTATATTTTCTTTCTCGTGGTTTTTCCCTTTTGCTCTGATTCTTCTTTCAAAACATGACTAATGTGGAAATATGTTTAATATGATTGTGCATCTGTAGTTTATATCAGATAGCTTGCCTTCTTGGGGAGGGGAGAAAAAATTTAGAACTCAAAATCTTGTATAAGTGAATGTCAAAAACTAAAAAATAATTAATTAATTAAAAAATCAAACTTATAAAGGCCCCAAAAAGTGAGACTCTCTCCCCCACCAAGAAAAATCAATTAAGAACTTGTGGTTTGCAGGCCAACAGGCAAACTTTAACCAGTGGAATTGTGGTCCATAAAGATCTCAAACAAGGTATCTGTATTTAGGTCTCATTAAGGCAAGTAGTCTGTCTGCTTAAAAGTGGGGGGGAAAACAATCATAGATGAACTCCCATAATATATTCCAAGTGAATTGTTAAGCCTCATTAGGATGTTAGGATGCAATATCCATATTGCTGATGTTAGCTGCCATGCCCATAATGGATAAGTATATCAGTCAATTCGCCAGTAGGCACTTTATTTATTTATTTGTTTGTTTGTTTTTTGGCTAGACAATGGGGTTAAGTGACTTTCCGAGGGTCACACAGCTAGTAAGTGTTATGTGTCTGAAGCCACATTTGAACTCAGGTCCTCCTGAATCCAAGGCCGGTGCTCTATCTACTGCGCCACCTAGCTGGCCCATCAGTAGGCATTTTAAAAGCACCTCCTGGAGGCGGAGCCAAGATGGCGGAGTGAAAGCAGTGACCTGTTTGAGCTCTCCCCCCAAACCCCTCCAAATACTCATAAAAAATGGCTCTAAACAAATTCTGAAGCAGCAAAACCCACAAAAAGACAGAGTGAAACAAATTTCCAGCCCAAGACAACCTGGATGGTTGATGAGAAAGGTGTATCTCGCCGGGCTGGGAGCGCAGCGCAGGGCAGCGTGGGCATGCAGGGCACAGCAAACCTGGAGCAGGCCTTAGAGGACTGAATTGTGGGCAGCTGTGGAGGTTTCCAGACTCCTCAATCCACAAATGCCAAAGACAACTTAGAAGGTCAGTGGGAAAAGTCTGTTTCTGTCCCTGCTGAGAGAGGAAGGCGGGGTCTCAGCTCCATTCCCCAAGAGCGTGGCGCTGGGGGGGGCAGCTGCTTCCCGAGCTTCCGGCCCACAGACTGAGGGGGAATCCAGTGGCTGATCAGAGAGGGACTGCAGGGATCTCTTTGCCAGTGCTGAGGCAGGAATCTCTTGCTTTGCCCATGCTTGGATCTGGGCCACAGTTCTGGGCAGCGGTGCTGGGGTGAGGAGGAGCACTGGCTTGGTGGAGC